AAGGGCAGGATTATCCTGGGTATTCTGTCATTGCCAAAGAGACAGTGTAGGAGTCCTAGAAGAAAATAGCAGGAATGGACAGGGTTGCCCACATGTACACAAGTCTCAGCCAGGTGGGCTTTCCTTGATATTGAAGCCTCATGTCTTCAGATGTTGGGGGCCTACTTAACATACCACCTGGAAGGAATTCTACTTATAGAGTTTTACTTCTAAATCAAAATTTTTAATTTTATCACTCAGTAATTGACCTGGGAACTGATTTTACAGCAAGTAAAACATTAGAAAAACAGAATGTGATTAAAGAAGAGGAGGAGGGAGCAATTTGTTTCTCTTTGATGCATTTGAATAGTTTTTAAATTTTTTAAGTTACAGGGTTGAACACTGATGGCTGATTGTATAAATTTAACTGTACGCTCTGATCAGCTTACTCATTGTACTAGAGGTCAAAAAAGTTCCCTTCACAAATATGTTTTTTCTTGAAAAATAGAAAGTCCTGGTGACACTGGCCTCATTTTTCCACAAAAGCATTTTTTAGGGTTTGGATCTGGAATGTGTCCCCATAATCCACCAGCTCCCCACCCCCTATCAAAGCTCATGTGGTAGAGTTAAGAGGTGAAATGGTTGGACTGTGAGGTCTAGAACCTCGCTGGTGGATTAATCATTTTGATGGATTAATCATTTTGATGGATTAATACTTTACTACTGGGTGGTAACTTTAGGCAGGTGGGATGTGGATGGAGGAAGTGGGTATCAGGAGGCGTGCCCTGGGGAACCCTATCTGTCCCTGGTCCCTTCCTCTCCTTTTCTTTCCCTCTCTCTGCTTCTCACCTGCCATGAGTAGCAGATTTCCTCTGCCACCTCTGTCCACCATGATGTTTCTGCCTTGGAACCAGCCAACCATGGACTGAATCCTCTGAAACCCTAAGTTAAAAGAAATCTTTAGTCCCCTAAGTTGTTGATGTCAGTATTTTGGTTGTATCAATTAAAAGCTGACTAACAAAGTACCAATAGTTTAGAGTGGAGCAGCTGACCCCTTTTGTGGGGTTAAATGAACTCCAATCCCTGAAGCATATCCTTGTTCTAGTCACTGACAACTTCCACTCAGTTATGCACATCTGCCTGGTTCCTCAAGTGAGTTTTCTGACCCCATTTCAAAGATTCCTTAAATCAGGATAGAGGGGTAGAGAAGAAAAAGTAGAAGGGTGGGTAGACATGATCAATTCACAGTATATGCATGTATGAAAAATATCACAGTGAACCCCATTAATTTGTACAAGTAATACATCAATTATTATAATAAAAAATGATTCCTTGATTTTTTTCCAACTATCTTCTCTTTCCTCTCTGTCTCTTTCTAGCTCTTTTGCTCACAGTAGGTAAAAATGGTTTTCCTGTCCCAAGAAACTTATCAATTTATTTTATAAAACATCTCAGACAGAGCCTTGACAGCTATCACTGACTTTCATATACAATATGAAAAAGTAGAAGACCAAAGGTCTTTTGGCTCTGTAAAAACTTTCCGTCTATGATCTGACATGTGTACATGTCATGTGTACATGACATGTGTACATGGCATCTCAATCATGAGGTGAATGATTTTGCCATCCATTCCCTGCTACAATGGGTTGCCTTACCACAGACCCAAAAGCCATGGGGCCAATCAACTGTGACTAAAACATCTGAAACTCTGAGCCAAAATAAGCCTCTCTTTACAAGATGATTGGCTCAGGTATTTTGTTACAGTGATGGAAAAACTGACTAACACAATTTTCTCATTTAACCACATGGTGTCCTCATTATATCCACCTCTACTTTTTGTGATTCTATGGGCAAGGGGGCTTTTCTTAATACAACTCAATGGAAGAATAATGGACAGATACCCTGACTGTCCAATGTTAAGTACAAGTAACTGCAGCCTGTAGAAACATTTGCTGTTTCTGTGCTTTATCTTGGTATAAGGAGTGTACAAGATGTAGGGTCTGCCTTCCCTGAATTTATGGTTTTCTTTCTGCAAATGATGAATAAGAGACAATTATTTTAAGATACTGGGGAGCACTTGTATAATCACCCTATTTTCCTGTTTCTGTCTTCCATCCTCTGTACCATCACCCCCTTGTGCTGTTTGGTCTTCTGTTTCCTCTTTGGGGAAACTACTAGCAACTCTCTGAGAGCGTGCCCTGCATCACATTTCCTGACGGGCACTCGGCTGCCAGTCATTAGACAGGTGGAGCCCCCACAATTAAGTTGGTCATAAATGAAGACACTAAATGTTTGCTCCCCCAAAGATCACTCAAAGCTGAGATCACATTAAAGCCAGGTGCCTGACATCTGTTTCTTCCTTCCTTCCCACTGATGTTGGTCAATGGAGGAGTGAACAAGAGGACAAGGGAAGGCATACACATTAGTGCCTGCTATTGTTCCTGCTGAGATTCATGAGTAAATTTAATCTCAATACAACAGTGTTGGGAGATGTGGCCACGTTGGAAGGCAGCTGAGTCATGACACTCCACCCTTATGAATGGGCCATATAAAATGACTAAACAGAGGGAGTTTGTCCCTTTTTTGCCCTTCCATCTTTTGCCATGTGAGGACACAGTAATCTTCCATCACCTTGATACCATCACCTTGATCTTGGAATTCCTAACCTCCAGAACTATGTGAGATAAATTTCTGGTTTTGTTTTTTATAATATAAATTACCCTGTCTCAAGTATTCTATTATACTAGCATAAAACAGACTAAGACAGGGTCCAAAGCAGGGCCCAAATCTGTCTTTATAACACAGGTCACCAAATAACTCTCAGTTGGATCAAACTCTTATGTGAAGATATTTACAGGCATAAACTTTAGTTTCATGTAACTTTATCTCTGCATTAATGTATCATATTGAAGATTAATATCTTTTCAAAAGAAAGATCAAAGTTTCAAACGAACTAGACCAAGTAGGGACTTGCAAGCACAGAGCTGCACCTCTCATTTACTGCTCTCATCAAAACCATTGCAATATCTCTGCAGGCTGCCAAGACAGTGAGTCCAAGGACTTGCCAAGAGCTTGCCAAGACAAAGTCAACCCTGGAGCCACATTGCCAGTGTCCTGGATCCTGGAGCCACCCTGCCCTACAGCTCAGCATCCCTCCTCGCCCCATAGATGAGTCATTTAGTCTCATGAACAGTTCTTAATATTCATGCTGTCCAGGAGGCCTCTGACAGTCTCCAACTCCACTTTCAGGGTCTCCCCATGAAGTCTTTGGTCCTGGTTGTCCAGCACTAGTGTGGTCCCTGGTGATGATTACGAGGCATCATCTTGTTCTTAAGTGTCCCTCTCTTAACATGTGCTTTAGTTCTTTTCAAAAACTCCTGGACTTTCTTTTTTTATGGTAATCACCCCCCACCTCCACCCCCACCCCGCCGCCCCAGTGCCTCCCACGCCTCCTAGATCTGAGGCTCTGCCCAATTACTTTCCAGGGAAGAGAAGGGTATGCTCTAATATTTGCCAAGTGCCTTTAATGCACCAGTTGTTATTCCAGGCCATGAGCTCTGTGTCATCCCTTTATATCCTTATAGTAGTTGTACAAGGTTGATACAGTCTCCCAATATAATGATGAAGATGGAGGACACTGGTGCTACTGAAGCTCAGAAACGTCAAGGACATTTCTCAAGTTCACCTGGCTGGGAAGCAGAAGGGGAGGAGGAAGGTTTGAAGCCTACTTAGTCTTAGTCTTGAGAGCTTTGTTATCACCTTGGAGCCTCCCAAGGCCTGAAGCACAGCTCCAAATCACAACTGAATCTGGGCCTTTACCTGCCAATCACCTTCTCTGCCACTCAGTGACTGTTTTAGGGAATGTTGGGAATCACACTCAGGGCCTTGTACACACTAAGCTCCACACCCCAGCTCCTGCTCAGTGACTTCTGAATGCTGCACATCCTGGATTTGCCATGACTGTGTCCTCTCCCCTGTTAAGGGTCCTTCATTTATATTTCACATCTTTAAAATATTTTTTTTTAGTTGTAGACAGACACAATACCTTTATTTTTATATATTTATTTTTATGTGGTGCTGAGGATGGAACCCAAGGCCCCACACATGCAAAGGAAGTGCTCCACCACTGAGCTACAACCCCAGGCACATTTTTATCCAGCATTTAGAGAAAAAGTAAACTCTGGGTCACACCAAAAATTAACTTGGCCCAAATTAACTTAGCTTCTTCTGCAAGTCTGAAAAAGTTTTTCTGAGCCTTGGTTTCCTCTAGTGTAAAGTGAGATGATAAAACCTACCTCACTGGGTGGTGGTACAGAAGCAAATCTAATCACCCCTTTAAAAATCCTCAGATTACAAGCTTGTTTCTTGGTCCATGAGCCTGGACTCACTGTTGAAAACTCTTTGTTTTAAAGCTGAGTTAAAAAAAAAAAAAAAAAAAAAAAGAACAACAACAAAACAAAACTGAGATGACACTTGCAGAGGGTTTCACAGATGATGTTGCTATTGAAATCAGTAAATTGCATTGTCTACAAAATAGGATATAATAATGTCACTCTGACACTTATTACAAATGCAGTCATTAGGCAACAAAAGCAATGGAAAATCATAGCTGTTCTGTACGCCCAGCTCACAACAATGCCTCCTCTCAGGAGGGGCCCCTGCGACCACCACTGACGATTTTCTTCAGGCCCCATCAATGTTTTCTGTTGTTTAAAGACACACATTAATTTAAAGTCTCCTCCCATTCTCTCTGTAAATTACAGCATTCAGAAGAAGTGGCAGCTGCTGTAATTAAGACACAGTTAATTGCCTATCTCCTTAATTGCAATGATAGGATTTTGACAGTTTGGTAAATAAGAATTGTTTGGTTTCCTCTGGCAACTTCAGTCTCTGTTAAACTCTCCCCTGCAAGTGCTGAGTCACCCACTTCTGGGACAAAGGGCTGCAGGCCAGCAGAGACAGAATGGGAGGGGAACACCCCCCCCCTCCCCTCGGCCAGGGGTGGGGTGTTGATGATTTACCTGCAGTCTCTTCTCTCAGCATTGACTCTTCCACTGCCGGATGAAATCCTCCCAGGAGTTTTCTCCCACAGTCATCAGTCATCGCATGAACCTACGCGACAGGAAACCACAGGAGCAGGATGCTTGAGTTGTGGGGGATGATTTCCTCCTGCTAATGGGCATAGGAGGACAGGATGATGTCAAAGGAGGAAACAGAAGCACTGAGAAATTGAACACATTCAAAGTCAGGGAGCTACGTCCTGAAAAGTCAGGACTTCAATCCAGGTCTCCTGACCCACCGTATAGTCCCACTAGTGTCAAAGACTCCAGAGGCTCTGGAGTCACCAGGAAGTGAATTCAGAGCTATGTGAATCACCTTTCTCTTATTGTAACAAAATAACTGAGATAAGCAACTAACAAAGAGGAAAGGTTTATTTTATTTTATTTTAAAGAGAGAGAGAATTTTTTAATATTTATTTTTCAGTTTTTTCGGTGGACACAACATCTTTATTTTATTTTTATGTGGTGCTGAGGATGAACCCAGACCCCCCATGCCAGGTGAGCGTGTTACCGCTTGAGCCACATCCCCAGCCTGGAAAGGTTTATTTTGGCTTGCTGTTTTGGAAGTTTCTGTCCACGGTCAGTTAGCCCCATTGGTTTTAGACCTGTGGTGAGGCAGCACATCATGAGAGGAGCATGTATTGAAGGAAAGCTCTCGTCTTCTGTCCAGGATGTAAAAGACAGAGGAAGAGACCACAGTCCCTCTGTTCCCTTCACGGGCACGCCCAAATGACCTAAGACCTCTCCCCAGGCCTCCCTTCTTAAAGTTTCTACTGCCTCCCAGTAGTGCCAAGCTGAGGACCTAGCCTTTACCACATGGGTCTTTGGGGGACACTTATCCAAATTATGACAAGAGCTTACCTTGACCTTGACTGATTGTGTACCTATGGGTCAGATATCGAATAATTCCAGGCCTCAGTTGCTTCTGTTACAAACTGGATTCTGCATTACCTTCCTCCTAACATTGTGACAACTCAGAAAAATAACCCTACAACGTATTTAAACAACACATTAGGCTTGTGGCAAATCTCAATAGATGGAAGTTATATAGCAAGTATGAATTTTGTTCTAGAACTGACTTAAATAATATTTTTACATTGCTCTAGTTCCTATAAGCTTAAATTTATGTGGATTACGGCAGTCCACATTCCAGGTCCCGGCTTCAGGCATGTATCTAGGACCTTATACATTCCAATGACACCATATCAAGGAGTCCAGGATCCAAGAAAACATCATACGAAAAACTGGATCTAGTTTCCCATTCCTCCAGGAGGTGAGAAATATTAGCATGTGCCTACTATCCTATAGGGTTCTGGGGACAAAAAAAAAAAAAAGAGAGAGAGAGAGAGAGAAGAAAAACAAACTTTTCCACACTACAATGGTATATGTACTCATATCCTATCAAGGTTATGATCAGCACTAAATCACGACTAAACACTGGTGTGTTGTGGAATCATGCTATTTAGTCCATTCTGCTTCCAAAAGGGCACATGAGACTTGGGAACTAAAAGAAAAGATGTCAGTGACAACGACATCTCCCCTTTCCTTAGTGCCACTCTTTTTTTTTTTTTAAACTATTTATCTTATTCTTTCATAAGCACAAAGTGAAGGAACTACTTGTGTAAAATAATTAACATTTCTTTCAGGGCTGGGGATGTGGCTCCAGTGGTAGCGCGCTCGCCTGGCATGCATGCGGCCCGGGTTCGAACCTCAGCACCACATACAAACAAAGATGTTGTGTCTGCTGAAAACTAAAAATTAAATATTAAAAAATTCTCATTCTCTCTCTCTCTCTCTTAAAAAACAAACAAACAAACAAACCCCACATTTCTTTCAATGAACAAATGTGTGAGGTGGTGGGGGAGTGGGTAGGTAGAAAAATCCTGCCTAAAAACGGGACTGCCTTTAAGATCCGTGGATCTTTTCCTGCTCAAAACATACATGAGTTTGGCTCTGCAAAAATAGGCTTAAACACAAGAGAGGCTTACTGCTCTTTCATCTAAACAGTCAAGACTTGGTTTGGTGGTTCCACAATCATCAGGGATCCAACCTTCTTCAAACTTACTATTTTACTGTCCTACACATATGGCTTCCATCTCTTGTGTTGGGTGGATATGGCCATACTATGTCCACCCAACACAAAGGAGAAGACCATGCCTCCTGGAGACAGCGTAAAGCACCCAGTTGCATGTTCTTGGTCATACTTAAATACATAGTGTAATGCCAGATTCGTGGGACCCCAATAGACCTCCAGGAGCCGAATCCGATGCAATCACACAAGAGTCTTTATTGCAAGCTCGAGCCTGGACTCACAACCGTTCCCGATGCAGGGATCCCAGGGAGTGAGTCCCGGTCCTTTGTCCAGTGAGATTTTATAGGTTTTGGGGGGATACTCTATGCGTCACAACATCACACTGCAAATCATTCCATACCACGGGAAAATCAAACAACAGCTCTTAACATTGATTAGCACATTCACTGGCAGGAACAAGTTGGGTAGGGGTGATTGGTTAGTACAAGAGGGGGATTCCTTTGAACTGATTGGTTTAGGCCATGAGGAGTGTACATGCTGAACTACATGGTTTAGGCCATGAGGAGTGTACATGCTGAACTACATGGTTTCCCAACATGTTATCAACCACCATAAACTCCTGGGGGGTCATCTGACATCCCAGGTATTTCCCTGTCTCATGCTGATTGGTGGTTGCTAGGGGGTTGCTATGGGTCTTCACCTAGCCTGAGTCAGGGACACCTGGCACCACAGATCTCTCCTGTTATTTACAGACAAACAACTCAGCAGGGTGGATATGTGTTGAGGAGTGCTCTGTGGGTTTTTCCAGGACAAGGATCATGCCCCCTTCCTTAGGACAGGCCTTAGGTAGAAGCTGATTTCTCAAAAATGGAGTCACATCAGTTTCTCAATAGGAACACTTAGATGTGACAAATATGAAAACCTAGTTACCCAGCCTACTTATGCTCGTGCAGTCTTCATTGAGTACTATGATGCTCACTTGAGCAGACAGAAGCTGCTGGGAGCCATCATCCCAGCTTCCGACTGCTCAGCTTCCAACCGCTCAGCTTCCAGCCAGCCTGGGGCTTCGTCGGCAACCCAGCAATACACAAACACTGATTATTCTAAAAAGGCAAAAAAATATTCTTAATTTCTAAGAACCTATTGCATTTTGCCTCCTGTGAACCTAATTCCTCAGAGCCTAGAATCTGTGCTAAATCAGGTTCCTTGCTCAAAAGTAAAACTTTCCCACAATTTTACCTTCCCAAGAGACTGAAGGTAAATCATAGTGCATTATCTGTACTCTCTTTATATTCTTTTTTCTTGAACAAATGAAAAGGCTTTATTTGAGTCAATCCTGTGCTCAGTTAAAAATCAAGAGTTCTATAAAGACAGAATGGATATTTGAGGACAAACTGCAGTCTCAATAACACCCATAATTGGTTTTGAAAGTGGAATATAAAGTAAAAAATGACATAAAAATATAATCACACTCCTGCTGCCTCCCCAACCCCCAATTTGTTTAAATTTGGGGAAGGCTTTGGATTTATTGTTTATTGGCATTGTGAGTTTGAGACAATTTTATTCAGATCCTAAGGAGCCACATAAGGAAGTGACAAATGGGTCAAGTGCCATAGGCCATATGCAAATGTCACTATCCAGCTAGCAAAGCAGCACAGGTGGCCCTTGGCTGGCAGGACAACATATGCTTCTTTAACTCCTAAACTTCAGTCCAGTAAAGAGCACTTGGACTTGGAGTCAGGAGTTCTGAGCTGAATTAGGAATCAGAACTCAACCAACCAGTAAGTGATTGATTTTGTGCAGGTGCCAGGGATAAATAATAATAGTAATTCATGCCTAATGAGATGTCACCCTGTACCAGGCATTCTGCTAAGCCATTGATTCTGCATTTCCTATAATAATTCTCTGATATAGATAACAATCATTTTTCAAATGAGAAAGTTGGGGCTTTGAGACTGTTTTTGTCAGCTTTTGCTTTGGTATGACCTAAATACTTTTGATTTCAGAAGCCTCAGTCCACAGACAGCCACCAACTCCATTGCTCTGGGCCCAAGGTGAGGCAGCACACCATGGGGGAAGGGCATGGCAGAGAAAAGATGCTCAGCCCATGACAGGGTCAGGAAGCAGAGAGAAAGGGGAAGGAAGGAGTCACAGAAGAACAACCCTTTCAGAGTGAGCCCACTGGAACCCACCTCCTCCAGCCACGCCCTCCTGCCTGCAGTTACTCAAACTATGATGCCCTGATTAGGTTAAACCTCTCGTAACTAATCATTTTACCTTGAATATTCCTGCATTAACAGGAGCTTTGGGGGACATCTTATATCCAAATCGTTAACAGAGTGAGGAATGACCAATGGAATCAGTACAGTTGCACAGCAGGACTTTGAACCTAGGGCTTTGTGGTCCTTAACTCTGAGTTCTTGCTCTTAACTAACTTATGCTGCTTCTCACAAAGAAGAGAAGATATACTTTCTGGCCTTAAAAACATCAGGTGTAACTGGGCAGACGCACAGGTAGACAGCGCATAGTGACCACTACTGCAGGAGAAAGAAGCACAGAGTCAGGCAGATACCTGAGATAATAAAAAGGAAGAAAGGTCTATTTTGACTCACATTTTCAAAGGTTTCAGTGCATGGTTTGTTGGCCCTGTCACTTTGGGGCCTGTAGTGAGGTAGTAATCATGGTAGAGAATATGTAGTAAAGGCAGTTACTCACCTCATGGTATAAGGGGACAAATAGATGAGGATGGTGGGAACACAAAGTTAAGAGAATAATTCTATAAAATGAGCCCAGTATACTGACTCCCCACATGCTTTCTTTGCTCAAAAGCAACCTGCTTGCAGCCCTGCCTGGCCTAAGGGAACAAGAAACCACCTTCCTCAACGAACTGAGGCAGGGAGCTAAGGCCTGGCAGTCGGTGTAGGTACTGAATGATAGGGGTTGAGAAAAGAGGGCTGGTTATCAAAGAAAGGAAATGGGTTGCTAACAGCTAACCTCCAAGGGATTGCGCTTCCTGGACACAAGCAATTATCCCCTACATGGAGAAGAAAGCAGGGATTCAAAGGGGGCTTCTGGGGTCTGTAAAAGAGCAAGATACTCCCACTTCCATGGACACCCAGCTCTGGACACCCTTCTCTCTGGAGAAGTCTGCTGCTTCTTATCTCTGTCCCTCTCTTAAACAAAACTTG